TATATATATATTTGTGTTGATAAGCCTGAGTGGTTGTATTTGTTCAAACATTTTTATGGGCAGGTTACAATATAAAAATGTTTGTCATAATCATGTCTTGTGATTATTTGACAGGAGTTTTACTTTTAAAATGTTAGTGTATTTTATTTAGTTAGAATGTAAAAACTATAAAAATTAAACCAAGATTTAGAATAATTATCATTTTGATCTTTACATTGGTAATGTCTGACTGGGCCTCGTGCCACTTTATGTTCTACAAATTGGGCCCTGAGGTGAAAAAGGTTAAGAACCCCTACTATATACTATACTTTACTTTGTGTGTCTCAGTTGTGTAGCCCAGTGGAAGTCCTTCCAGGAGGCTAGGCAGACGGTTATTGAGCTCATGAATGAAGCAGAGAAGAAGCTGACAGAGTTTTCCACTGCAAAGGCAGCCACGAGTCAGGAGGCTGAAGACAAGCTCTGCAGCCATCGGGTATGAACGGGTGAAATAGTCCTTCATTTTTCAGGGTCTTTATGAGATGCATCAAATGTGGTGAGACGGTTTACTAACAACTACAAATATGTTAGTCTCTTGTTTCCCTCGTGAGTGGCTTTCAAGAGAAGCTGAGTGGATTAGAGGAACAAGCAGCTCAGCTGGAACTGGTGGGGAGCGACGCCAGCAAGGCCACCATTAGTCGCTCAATGACCACGGTGTGGCAGCGCTGGACACGACTGCGCAGCGTGGCACGAGGACAGGAGAGGGTCCTGGAGGACACGGCGCAAGAGTGGAGGACTTTCAAAGAGAAGGTATAAAACACAAGAACACTAAAAGGCCCAACAGTCCTTCATTAAATGCATATCACCCTCTGTTTTTATGTCTCAGTTTGAATCTAAGCTCATGTTGTGTTGAGAAATGACAGGATTATAGCCGTTTTGTTAAATAGTATATCATACATTGAGTTAGCACTCAGGGTACATGTTAGTGATGACTCTCAGCTACTACCACACCATATGTTAGCTCAGTCAGTAGAGCATGAGACTCTTAATCTCAGGGTCGTGAGTTCGAGCCCCACATTGGGCACCAAATGTTGAGGCTTTTCTCTCTTACATGTACTGAGTCAAAAAACAGAAGCCAGAGCTTGGCCAGCAGAGGGAGAGTTTATTAGGTCCGGTTCAAACAAGACAGTCAGCCTTTAGCATACAAGGAACAAACAGAACCGAACAAACAAAAGTAGATGAGCCTGAGAATTTATAGACAGATGTTCGTGTGTTTTACAACACACAAATTTCTTATTGGATGAGACTCTGCTCAGATGCTGCACCCTTTCCCGGACTCCATTGGAAAGGAATTTCCTGTTTTTGAGAAAATGGTTATATAATTTCCTACATGCACAAGCATTGTTTCAACTCCTGAACTCAATGTGAAGACAAGAACATCTTGTTTTTCACTAAGATTTGGCTGAACATTCCGGTCACGTCGACATTTTTCTTGGGGTAAATTAATCTATTTTGTACTTTGGTTGACATTTTCCAGACTCTACACTGTAAGGTTTGCTGGGTTATAACCGTCACTTAGCTGCTTCGGAGTTTGTCCACTGGCCTATGAGATATTTTGCAAACAGAGAAAGTACTCACAGCTGTTAATTTGGCTGTAGATGATAAAAAAGCAGTAGAGTTGATTTTCCATTGTTTTGGTAGATGGTGAAAGTCCGAGGCGTTTCTGAGGAGCTCCACAGTCGTTTCCCTGACAGTGCTGTGGAGAAGGCTTCTAAAGCTATGCTGCAGTCGTTGTTGGATCAACATGACTTGCTGAGCCAGGATTTGGAGCGGGAACTCTCCTCCCTCACACTGCTGCGTCAGTATGCCCTCAGCCTGCTGCACGACGTGGAAGTTCCTCCTTCACCAACAGCCGACCAGGAGGAGCTGCCCAGTCTGAAAGAGATCAGAGCAGTTCAGGACCAGATGGAAAGGTAAAACCTGACCTGCTCTCACTCTGGACTTAAAGTGCCTGTGACATCAACGTTTTGTGATGAATATGAACGCACTTTTGGAAAGATAACATGGATAACATATTGCAAAAGCAGTTTCACACCACTGAGATGAACAGCTGTTAAGATGTTTGCATGTGAAGTAATAGGAAGTGATGTCAAAGGGGCAGTGGCGCCAGCAGAATTTTTTTCGGGGGGGCCACGGGGGAGCCACTGAAAAACCAGGGGTGGCACATCAAAATTAATATCTATAACATAAATTTTAGGATGTGTTTGTAAAAATTACAAATTGAAAACTATGGCAATATAAAGCTATGGATTTGCCAACAGATGTTCAATTAGTAATTTCACAGATAATATCACTGATTTTATGATGTTCAGAGACAAAAAAGAGTAAGTATTTGTATGCTGGGTGGACCAACTGGTGGGGGGTCTGGGGGTCCTTCCCCAGAAAAATTTTTAAAGAAGTAAATGCCATTTCCTGCATTCTGGTGTATTTTAACAGGTTGTTAAACAGATTTTTACCTACATAGGAAAACACTTAATGTGAGTATTCTACAGGTAAAATGAAATACATTTATTAGTTAAGCAAGAGAAACACTGGATGAACTAATGTTTTATGGTAAATGTGGGGATTTCAATGAATTACATTTTTAATTTGATGGGGACAGTTCCCTTCAAAAATGACTGTCATTTTATTTAAAAATGTCAAAATACATAATTTTATAGCTTATTCTCGAGGGGTGGGGGGGGGGTGACCCTCCCTGCAAAGGGGAATGTCTGCATGTAAACAGAGCTTTGCTACAACAGCTAACAACAGACAGCAGGATTTTTTCTCATGTTTCTTTAGATAATTTTAGTACTGGTAAGAGAGAGATGAAGAAAAGTCAGAGTTCAAAAAATATTGTTTTACAATCAAAGACCAGGGAGTTTTCTTTCTTGAAGAGTTCCCCTTTGATGTCACTTCCTGTTTCAATTTAGATTAGCCAAATTTAAAGGAAACTACGCCAGTTATGTGGCAAAATGGGTAATCATGTGTTTTAGGCCAATTCTCCTAAATATGAAGATATTTTCTTTGACTTTTTGTATTTGAAGGCATGTCACAGGCACTTTAAGGGTTAAAATGAGCCGTTAAAGAGATCTGCTCTCAAAGGTTTAAAATATCTTCTGTTGATTAAAATTCTTGATTTTCAGAATCTGAGAGAATTTGTTTGTTTGTTTGTTTGTTTGTTTGTTTGTTTTCAGCCTCCTGACCCAGTCCAGAACCAGACTGGCTCAGACAGCTCAGGAACTGAAGGAACGAGAGGAGGTGGAAAAGGAACTTGGTGTTGTGAAAGCCTGGATCCAGGAGACCAGAGAGCTGCTTCTTAATCCCACATCAGATATTGATTCTCTTCTGCAGGAACTTGAGGTACATTTTTGAATATATCTTACAGGGTAAAGGTTTTTATCTCAGTATGAGGGTCCAGTAAGTTTGTATTTTATTAAAGTTTGGGAACTATTATTTAAACATTGTTGGAGTTGTTTGTGTGCCGGATCATAGGAGATAGCACACAAACAGAGAGTGCACCAGACAGTGTAGGGACTAGATCTGTCCTGGGACAGGATTCAGTCCTGACTGGTCATGATCCAGATAGAACTGATGAGGAGTGGAGAGGAGAGGAAAAAGATTTACTTTTTTCTCATGAAGGACTGCCTGTCTCTGAGCAGTCAAAGGAAAATAATTCCTGGGGAACATTTTATAGATCCTAAAAAGCTCAGAACTCTGAGTGTTTCTATCCTCTTGTCCTTCATTTCAGGAATGCAAAGATTTGAATAAAAAGTTTACAAATGACATTGATATAGAGGGTTTAGATAGGATCTTTCTCTGCTTGATTTACTCTGTGGTTGTTAGTAAAATGCAGGTAAGTAAAAGATGCAGTTGCCTGTACACAAGAGCAGTGATTACATGTGACTGATGTAGTTCACCCAAAACATCTGGCCCAAACCACTGGATGTAATTGTTGTTGTTGTTCACCAACTTTCTAAGAACAAATCTGAAAGTCAGTTAATGTTCCTTCCAGGGGCGATTTTAGGGAAATCTGATTGGCCCTCTGAAGTGCCCTGTCCTGTCACTCATCTGTCTTTTACCTGGGGGTGATGATGGTGGATGCAGTTCCATGTTCAAACACTAGAGGTGCTAATGAGTCAAACAGTAAAGTCCAGAATGAATCAAGCTGACAGAATTCTTCTTCTCTTCTTAAGAAAATTAGGACAATCCTGCAAAAAAGGCTGTGTCCAAAACGGCAGGACGGGTCCTCCGAAGGTCGAATTTGTCGGCCGCATACGTCACAGCACCGCGACGAAGGACGTCCAAAACGGAAGACTCCTCCGATGCGTCCGACAAATACGTCCTTCTTTTTCCCCGAATCGAAGGACAGGTCCGATGGATCCTTCCCGGCCCAGCATATCCCAGAATGCATTGCGGCCCGACCGGAGATTTTTTTAAGCTAGTAATGGCGGACGAAGCGAGAGAAAAGAATACGTTTTAAATAAAAATATGGTGATTTAAAAATTAAAAAAAATTAGCGGTTGTAATTCTAATACTTTTATCATTTGTATGGACATGTTTTTAAATATTATTTTTTCGTCATAAAAAACGCGAAATAAACATGAACCTACAGCAGGTCAATTAGTTCTTCAAATGATACCTTTAAGTTAATTTCATAGTTTTGTGATATTAATAATGCTAATGTGTTGATATTTTTCTAGTTTTGATTTAAGTTTGCTTGTTTAGCGTCGTCACAGTTGCTAGGTGACAAGACGTACGCCGGGGTAAGGAGGGGAGGCTAGACCGTCCAAATCCACAGCCTCTTTTTTTCCGGTCTTCCCAGTCTACCAAGGACCCGGCCCTCCGAGACCGGGGAGTCTGGGTCCTCCGGAGGACCCGTCCTGTCGTTTTGGACACAGCCAAAGTCTTTCAACTGACAAATGGATGGATTTTCTCACATGTTTTGTGTTTAAGAATATTTTATCTATGTAGAGTTAAATGTATGAAAAACTGTTGAGGAGAATTTACTGTGCAAGCTTTTCTTGGTACCACTTTACAATAAGGCTCCCCTTATAGATGACTTATAAAGAGTTTATAGACATGTTCATCTGTAAACATTTTATAAATCATTAATAAATGCTTATTATGTAATAATTAGGGACGAGAAAGAGACAAAACTGTTCAGTTTCTTACCAAATAATGAGACAAATCTGTTCACGTACATAATACATCTAAAAATGCTATATTAAACATTTCACACTAGGTTACTACATTGTAAGCACAATAACAATAAGAAACACATATCTTAACATATTAATATTGTACTGTATTACTGCATTATAAATATCCACAACTGTTAAAGGGAGACTTATCGTAAAGTGTAATACAGTATACACTATAAATGACAAACATTTATAAATGCCAAAAGTTAGTCTTTAATGTGAAAAATCACTTATAAAACTTAGTGTTGATTATCAATATTTGAAACTATTGTTCAAACATTTTACTACTGTCAACAATGCTGATGTATCAAAAAAGTAAAACAAAAGTCATGTTAACATATGGAATAATCCCACCACATCCAAAATAGTGTACAGTTTTACACTTTACATTAAAGGATCCCTTTAATACTGGTGGATATTTATAATGCAGTAATACAGTATAATATTTTATGTTAAAATATGCATTTCCTAATCATTATCGTGCTTACATAGTAGTAAACTAGTCTGAAATGTTTAATACACAAACAGTTTTGGCTCAGTATTTGGAAAGAAACTGTACAGTTTAGTTTATTTTTTGTCCTTAATTAATGAATTATAAACACTTATTAATAATTAATAAAGTAAGGCTCTTATATATGGTTTTTAAAGTGGTACCCTTTTTTTAAAAATAAAATTACATTACATAACAAGTGTTTGAACATGTATGACTGGTTCAATGTATACACTTTACCAAAACTGTGGATTTGTGTGAAAGGATGTTGAACAAAGACTGGCCCCTCTATGAATATTGTGGGCCCTTGATGGCCCCTTACTCAGAAAAATCCTAGATCTGCCACTGGTTCTTTCTGTTGAATGTGTCCTCTTGTTGACTGCAGACCATACACGGGGATGTAATCACGTATCGTCAGAATGTGGATAAACTAGCAGAACAACAACAAAGCAAGTATCTGGACCTCTACACCATCCTCCCCTCTGAAATCTCCATGCAGCTAGCTGAGGTCTCTCTTGCTCTGGGAGCTATTGAAGATCAGGTAAATCAGCATTCATCATTATATGAACAAATAAATCTAAAAGGAGTTTTATATGCCAAGAATCGCTTGACTGTTTTGTGACTTTCTGCTTCAGGTTCTGTCTAAAGAGAGAGAAAATCAGAGAACCAGAGAAATAAAGGAAGACTTCAGCTCCAGAATCCACCACATGTCAGAGAAACTCAAGACTATCTCAAAAAAATTCAAGGACAAATCTCCTGATGTCGATCATGCCAAAGAAGAGTTCAAGGTACATTCTGTCTACTTTGTGAGAAGACTAAAATCATTTCCACTTTATTGACTACACATAAACAGACCCAGATTCATGAATAGTTTATGCAGCAAAATCAGATTTTATCATTCATCTAATTCTCAAAGGCATGACAGAATGAGGATTGTTCATGTGTCGATCACCCAGCTTCTGTCAAAGTGCTGTAGTTAGATGCAGCATTTAGAAGCCAAACCTTCACATATATATTAATACATACAAAAACATTCATATACATGACGATAACTTCAGAATGCTTCTAAATCTCAAAGATCAGTGTGGTTTGAAACAGGCATCTAGCATCAAATATTTACTATCTATAAGAGCCTCATGTTTTTGCTACCTGGTGGGATGATTTTTTTTTACCAGTTTCCCGGTACAAACAGCCTGAAGAGGACCCAATGTTCCTTAGGGGACAAAAGCCAGGTCCCCAGTGGGGGAAGTAATGTTGGTGGGTCAGGGGTTCGGTTTAGGACTAAGATGTGAATAGAGTTTAGATTAGGTTGAGGGTCAGGTCTGTACCTTCTTGTCTGAGTGGAACATATGCAGCGGGGTGCATGCAGGACTCGTGGGGCGAGTGGAGAATCGTGCCTGGCTCCAGTGTTGACTGAGTACATTGGAGATGTTTGGATATTAGGTAGGGCTGCGCGGTATATGCGGGAGACGGTAGAAACGGTATGAAGTTGGCTTACGGTAAAAATTTATTCTCTACCGTCCTATCGTCATTACGTCATCGCACCTGTGTCAACAGGGCTGTGAGTGCAGGGACAACTGAGCAGGAGTTCGAAATATAATGAAGAAATTCTAGCGTTTTAAAACACGTAGAGAGGATAATAATCCTCAAAATTTCCTCCTCCAAGTTAAGTCGTGTCGCGGGATCATTTCCTCCCTCCCTCTCCTCTCCTCTCCTCTCGCTGCACGTCGCACAGAGAGAAGCTTTAACAACCGCAGTTTTTCACACCCAATTGTCGGAGAAAAACTTGTTTTTTAAGTATTGTTACCCACAGAGATGATTATAAAAAAGACCTGGACGTTCCTTCAGTCATAAATCCATCTTGCTAATGTAAAGTCAGCTTCTGCTCTGATGATGAAGATGAGCGCGCAGCCACGCAGCGATAAAGATGAGCGGGCAACGATGAAGATGAGAGTGCAGCGATGAAGATGAGAGTGCAGCGATGAAGATGAGAGTGCAGCGATGAAGATGAGAGTGCAGCGATGAAGATGAGAGAGCAGCAGAGCAGCAGCTGATAAGTTCAGCAGACAGAAGCCCATTGTTTGACAGGCAGATATTAAAGCAAAAATGCTGGGTTTAATTAAGATTATAGTTCTCTGCAAAAAAAGCTCTAAAAATTACATTATCTTTACTTTTTATGATAGTTTTCTACCGTGACATATACCGTTACCGTGAAGGGATTCAGTTTATATAGTGAAATGAATTTGAGGTCATACCGCCCAGCCCTAATATTAGGATTAATGATAACTGGATTTCTATTGATTGGCAGAGGTGGATATCTGGCCTATCAGGAAATAAAAAAGTGCTGGCATCTGTTCAGGCTTTGTGGAGACTGCCAACTCTCTGTGATGGTTTATGTCGGGCTGTCAACACTCAGACTGAAGCCCTGGGGGTGATGAACCCCAAGCTGAATGCTGTTCTAACTGGGGATCGCAGACCAGCTGTGGCTCCCTGCTGGTGGGAATGTATAGATTTTGGAGAAGTTGAGCCCGGGATCAAAGGTGAGGATTGACCAACAAATTTGGCTGATTGGAACTTTTCGCCATTGAGAGTTCTGGTGAGACGTTTAAGACGACAAGCAAATCTTCTGTGTCAGCCTGTTCCAAAACAATTGTGATCGTTGATTTTGGCACCCCCCACCCCCATTTGGCCTTGAAGGCTGGGTATATCAATCTCTCCGTGGATGTTTTTGTAAACAGACGCTCTGCCCACCTTTCCCACCTCCCACTCCCGTGTGTGAACTGGAATCTGGAAGCAAAGCTGAAGATCATACAGATGAACAATGACATTACTATTCTGGGACTATGGCTGATCAATGCCCCCGTCCTGTGGAGCTGGCATAAAGCTGGCTAAAACCTGGGAAAAAACAAAAAACACTGCCATCAACTATTAAAGTACAATAAAACCCTGTGAGGTGTGAGAGGAAGCGCAAATGCTGTCATCACCACCAAACAGTGAAATTACCTTCACAAAGATTCACCCATCTTAAGCTAGATTTGTACTTGACGCGTCGCGCAGGGTGCCAGGGTGCGCGCAGGGTGCCAGGGGGCACGCGCCAAAAGTGACACAATATCACCGTCCCCGCCCCTGCACTTTGGCCCCATGCGTCATTTTGGCGCATGTCGTGCACCTCCGATTTTTTTAAACTCCGCAAAGGCTAGTGCACGTGGCACTGTTGACGACAGGAAGCTGCTCACGTATCCGGATGTACCATTTATATGATCCCTCTATGAGACATCATAAAGGTGTTCAAATGGCACAGAATGTTTGGAAGGAGGTCGCTGAAGCGATGCAGAAAGATGAATCTGTGTGTAGAAAGGCTTGGAAGAATGAATTGTATGTTCTAGTAATGTATGAAGTAAATTTACTCATCTGAAAAATAAACCTATTACTCTTTTGATCAGTACTAATAAAAACTTGATTTTTAATAACAAAATTAAAATTTGAGGATTTTCCCTGTGAGGCAGCAAAGCTTTCTTTTGATTCATGATGGGAATTATATTTACAATACCATTTGAGGTTTCCTATTTATAATAACATCGACTGTTCTTCTTACACTTATAAAAAAGTCTGTTTCATAACTAATTTTATAGAGTGAAACGGTTGATGACTTTGAGAATAAGACAATATGCAAACAAATTTGAGAAGGAAAGTTACAGTGGAAATTTCAATGTAGTTTTATTTTATTTAACATCACTATAAAATAGACTTAGAAAATTAAAGGTACAAGGCCAAAACAGGAGGCAGCATCGGCAGTTGTGGCAGATAGCTCCACACTTAGTTAGCAAAGAAAAAACTACTTCAAAATTAAAATGAGAACATGAATGACTAAAATAGAAACAAAATAAAGTTATGTGACATCATGCATTTCTTCTTCTACGCCCGTTTTTCTTCTTCTACACCCGTTTCTTGCAACCTATGCACAGGTTTTAGAGGTACTGCCACCTGCTGGTCCGTAAAAGAACAGCACTTTGCCGTGCGCCGCCGCACGTCAACTATAAACACAGCAGTGAAACGTAAATGCAGAAGCCGCACAGCTCAGTGTGCGCGCGCTGCGGCAGGCGGACCAAAGCGCGAGTAAATCTCGGCCCTAGGAAGTCAATACCTCACTATTCTAGCCAGCAGGCAATTTGGCATCTGATGATGGTGAAAGGATTCAAGTTTTACAAATGCTGACACCTTGCAAAAAACAAACTGCATGTGAGAAGAAAAAAATATCAGAGTATCGGCAGACATCAGCCTATACTGGTTCTGAGTAATCACCCAATGTGTCACAGCTGTGACTTTGTTGGTATTGCTACTCCAATGGCAAGTGCAAAGGGAACATTCAGTACTTTCAGCACAGACCTTTGGCAGCCAGGAGGGTTGACATAGAACAAGACACAGTTTATTGATAATCCAGAGTAAATATTGGGAGCTAATGAAGAAGAAGAGATGGCTCAGGTACAGTAAGCCCTGTTAATTTGAGCCTTTCTATATTTGGTTTATAGAGTCTTTTGGAGGATTTGGACTCCTGTGGTCGCTCTCTCGCAGACCTTGATGCTGCCGTTCAAGAGTTTAGTCGCAGAAACCCGTTTCTGGCCAAACAGCTGAGTGACGCCATCAACAAGTTATCTGAGATGCATCACCACACGAGCCGGTTAGCAGACTGCAGGAACAACTGGCTCAAAAAGGTTTGAGTTTCATGTTGTCTTCATTTATTACAGCTGTAATCCTTCCTGATAATTCATTTTTTTTCAGTTATTGTATTTATTTCATTCATTCATAAAACAATAAAAATGATCTATAAAAACAAGTCATACAAAATCAAAAATAAAAAACTAACAAAACTAAGAAAAACACAATAAAATCATGAATGAAAAGGAGCAGAAAGAAGTATAAACTTATATCTGCCCCTATTCACTAAAAAATAAAATCAATTCCAAACAAGTCCACTGTCAGCATACAG